AATAAAAGGGAACTCTTTAGCTACAATGTATCAATGTTATGTTATAAAACAAATGGTAAACACCACAGCGTACACTATTGAGATATGGATGCACGCGGGAGGTTGCTAAGCACGAAAGAAGCGTAAGAGTCGCTCGAGGCGATAGCCGAGAGCGACTCTAGCTTCTTGAGTGCTTAGCAAACCTCCCAAGTGCATCCATAACTCAATAGTGTACGCTGTGGTGTTTACCATTTGTTTTATAACATAACATTGATACATTGTAGCTAAAGAGTTCCCTTTTATTCAACAAATCTTACGTGACCAGAAAAAACAATCGCGCGCGGAAAAATAGTCTTTGCATTTGCTCACGTCAGCAGCGTACACCCATGGGCAAATGGGGGACGCTAAATTGACCAATCAGAGCGCGCGCTTTACTTTGGTTATGTTATAAATCATATTCTCTTTCAGACCTCTCCAGATTGATTATTTTTGTCGAATCCCATAAGGGTCCAAATGATTTGTTTTCAGTTCCCGATATATCTAGTGCGCAAGTATATACCATGATAATGAAGCTTCGGGCATCGACAAGATTAGTGCTTGTCTTCTACGTATCGCTGCTCCTTTTATTGCTCCGAGTGTTGCTAAGTTAATTAACCTTTCGTTCTCTACATGCGAATATCCTACGCGATGGAAAACTGCAAAGGTGACACCTTTATTCAAAAGTGGTGCGAGGTACGACCCCTGTAATTATCGACCTATCTCCATGCTTTCCGTTTTGTCGAAGGTTATTGAACGTCACATGCAAAATTGTCTTCATACCTTTCTCAATGATCATAATCTGGTCTACTCTAGACAGTCTGGGTTCCGAAAACAGCACAGTAGCGAGACAGCTCTTATTAAAATTATCGATGATCGTTGATTCAGTCTGGACAATGACAGGGTCTCTGGTATGGTGCTTGTGGATTTCCGAAAAGCGTTTGAAATGGTCGATCACGAACTTCTACTGAAGAAGTTGGAGGCTTATGGTATAGTCTATCAAGAGCTCAGTTGGTGTAGTTCTTATTTGTCTAAGAGAAAACAAGCAGTTCATTTAAGCGGAGCAGAATCGTGCGAGTCTCTAGTTAAACATGGAGTTCCTCAAGGCAGTATTTTGGGCCTTTTGTTCTTTATTCTATTCATTAATGATCTACCTTTACCCGCCAGCTCTCAAATTGATCTTTACGCCGATGATACAACAATTAAAACTTCTTCGGATTTCAGGAACATATCACAACTGGAACTTTCTCTAAACACATCTGTAAGTGAAATTCAGCTTTGTGCTAATGAAAATAAGTTACCTTTAAACGAAGAATAGACGAAGGTTTTGAAGATTACCGGGAACAGACTTGCACTCAGACGTTTAATTTGCAATCTGCCGAATGTTACAACAGATGGAGTACAACCCTCAAAATTGTAGACAGTGCTACCCTTTTGGGTTTAGAAATTGACAACATGCTTTCTTTTAATTTGCATGTCGAAACGATTTGTAAGAGGCTTTCTTCGCGGATAGCTGTATTACGCAAGATTAGAGTGTTTTTGTCGTTATCTCAACGCCTACTATACTATAATGCTATAATTCGCCCGGTATTGAGTTATGTGAGTGTTATCTGCTCATCGTGCGACAAGGAGTTATTAAATAGAGTTTTAAAGTTACAAAAGCGCGCAACGGAGTTATCTTGTACGCAAACCGCCAATCGTCATCGGTAGCACTATTTAATAAGCTACACTGGATTCCTTTTTATGAACAATGTAACAAAGACAAATGCTCTATTATGCATAAACGTATAGATGGGTCTCTACCAAGCTACCTGGATGATTACCTAGTAATTGATCACAAACGTCATTAACGGAATACAGGGTACGCTAATTTCAACGCTATTTGCCCTAAATATAAAAGAGAAACCGAGGGTGGACGCACATTCGCAGTATCAGCTTCACGACTCTGGAATAATGTACCCTTATCTACTAGGAAAGTGGATTCTGTAGCCTGTTTTAAGCATAACATGTGGAGAAAGTTTTTTTAGGGACCAGCAATTTTTACACCATTTTCATATTTAGTGATCGAGTTTTATATGAAAATCGCATGTTTTTTTCATAATTTTAAGTGTTATTCTATTTCTAACTTGTAATTAGTTGATTAAATCAGGGCCACAAGTTAATAAGCCTGTGGCTATTACGTGCTACCCTGTATAAATAAAGTCTTTATTTATGATTTATTTATTATATTACATGCGACATTTATTTGCAAATTGAAACTGTGATTTTCGTCCCTTCTCCAGCGTTGAATAAACATCTCGATATTACTGAAGTTTCCATTCGCGTCAGGGGGTCATATCTAACTCTGAAAGAGGAATTCCTCTGTCTACTAGGGTGCTGATACCCAACTTGAGGGGCTTAGGTCATAATGGGATGTTAGAGAGAATCTATTTTTACAACTTGTCTAAGATTACAGCTGCTTTTTTTTCAGGTTACGATGATCAGAAAAATACTAAAAACCTCCGATCATTATAATTACCTCTATCGTGACTGTTGACAACCTCCAACAAACCGTCCTGGTATCTTGTAAACAACGTTGCTTCAAGCTCACAAGTCATGGGTGACATTTTAATAAAATAAGACATGGCATTCTTATCGAAAGGGTCGATAGCTGGAAGTCTGCAGCTTTGTTCCTCTGTTGAATTAAACGGCTGTATGTTGGAGTGTTCCAGACCGCACGACAATCCACTCATAGAAAATTCTACAAAATATGAGAAATAAGAATCAGAGTTAAAGACCTCGTTGTCGCCTGCAGTGCTCACACAAATTATTAACCCTCGCAACCCGGCGTCGTGTACAAAAAAAACGGATGAGGCATATTATTGACGTTAAGTTTTAAGTCTTACGAAAGGCTGAAAATCGATTTAAGAAGTGTTTTGTTCGCTAGTCCAGGTTTTTTATACGACTCACATTTCTTCAAGTTTTCACGGAATAACTTTTGTTTTGTTTCATAAACGGATGGTATTTTAAGGAGATTTAGAATGAAAATAAAACTGGATATCTTTCTTTTTTGAGACGCAGCTTGGTTTCCGGGCGATAGATAACCTATGAATGATTATTTGTGCTCTTGTGCGGCCGGTTCACCATACCTACCGAGCTTGCTTATAAATGCAGCTTTCACGTACAAAGTGGAGTTCCCATGGACAGATATAAGAATCTCTGAGGTGATTGGGAATGAGTAAGTGGCTATGATGTTGTTCAGTTTTGAGATTGCTTGACAGTGTTCTTCGACGAGCTCGCAAGATCTCACAGCTTCGTATTCGGATTGGAATACTTGAACATTAACCTCTGTGTAGTCCACTTCAGCTGTTGTATTGTGCAACTGGTGGTGAGACAGACAAACGAGACAAATAATGAGTTAAAAATAATTAGAGTACTTCTCTCTCTATTATGATCATGAAAAATTAAACCAGACCGACACGAAATAACCGGAGAGAGAAGCTGCGAAAAGTGTTTAATTGAACTGGACCTTGACCTTCCTCTTGCAGTGTCTATGTCTGTATTATCCAGTTGTGCCTATCTACTGTTTAAGTATTCTAACCATGCGGATATCCTCCAGAAGTAGCATATGAATCGGCATGCATTTTTTCGCAACTTGCGCACCTAAAAAATTTTCTGATAACCGAACAAAGATTCTGGTCTCAATTAAGAGGTTCAAGACAAGACCACTACATTTTGATCGACGTCTCAAGAAGTTACTGTTTAATTTATTTTGGAGTGAAATAATTCTTTGTTGTCCGCCTTGGATAACTATTGCTGTATCTTTCATCTTGGAGTTCTCAACGTTAAAATTACTGACCTCAACATAATCCTTCAGCGTGGATTTTAATAAACTGGCGCGGTGCACATGATCATGTTCTGCCTGTATCACTGGGTATTTTGCCTTTAAATGGAAAATCTCTCTTTAGCAGTGATAACTTAAATTGTCTATCAACTCAGAAATCCCCAGAGAACAATATCAACAAACAGATCAGCACAAGTATTCAATGGTTTATTAATTGAGGTTCATGGCGGCGCACAACTTACTTAGAAGTAATAAAGGTTACATTTGGGGCCCTGCCATTCCAGTGTTTAGGACGTTTTAACATTTTACCTCACATCAATACATTAAGCTTTTTATTTCGCTCACCTTTGATGTCACTTCCTTTTGGCCTGATAACTCAGGGGCTTTCGTGGAATAGCCCTTGTTCTTTCTAGCTACTCGGGTGCCATTTCGCTTCATTGATACCACCATGTTATGCATTGATTTGAAATCCTTTACTTTTTGTGACTTTGATTTTTTGAGATGGATCGCCTTTTTTGCTTGTCTTCGTTTTCTCGTTTTTTTCCATCTTCTAACACCGGTAAAATAATGAGTATTTTTATAGTCTTCTCTAAATTGCCAAGTGTTCATTAAAATTGTGTTATCTAGGCTGGTTGTTTTCCTTAGAAAAGCAACTTGCTGTTTGTTCATTTCGAACTCCTTGTCTTTCCGATATATATTTTTCCACGCACATAGCAGGTTGATGAGAGTCAATAAAGCCACCAGGATTAAAATTATATAGCTTTGCCTCCGAAGATGAGCCAGGCATCGGAAGTAACATTTCATGGTAACTTTGACAACTTGCTGACCCTAAAAATGAAAAGGTGAATACATAAAAATCAGTAAAACTAACAGCCACAAAGAATAGAGTACGTCCATTTCTTACCCATCTCCACTCGAAAATAATGAAATGATAGAGTATATTAAAAAAAATAGATGAATAGATCGATAAATAAATAAATAAATATGTATATCTGTCTTCAAAGGTCTCTAAATGCTCTCCATAACACTTTTTTTGGTTGCTTGCATCTTTCTTTACTTTGTATCTCAGCTTAATAAAGAGAATAAACTCTAAAGAAAGTGATGCAGGGGACAACGTGCCGTTTTTTAAAGTCATTAATAATGTAAGATGAATAAAATGGAATCCCAATTCAAAAAACATGCAGTACCTCCGATCACCTGTTTATAGGCGAAAGACCTGCTGATGTGTTTGAAGAAAGCTCCCCACCTGAGCCGGGTAGAATGACTCAAGACGCCGAGATTACTGCAAATCAACTGACTCAGCGAGTCAAGAGATGAAACAGAAGTATTGGTCAGGTCGCGTTGCTGAAATATATCTCGAAGGTAATGAGTACAACAAAGCAAAAACTAGCCACGTTATGTTTGTAATTATGCAGTGATACCGTTGGATATGATCATAAAGCTGTGTAAATAGATATTTCAGACTCGCGCGTCATAATCCACGAGGACAAAGTAACAAGTGAAAATTGATTTTGAATCCACCAAAGCAGAGATTTCAAAAACTAGTTTGGGCATTGAAAAAAAAAAAAAAAAGACATGCTCATGACGCTACAGTCATGCTTACAAAAAAAAAAAAAAAAAAAAAAAAAAGACAGGTTATGTGACGTCATTAGTCTTGAATATATATTTGACGTGTGTCACCTCGTTTCTTAAAGGCTTTTCCTTTGTATTTTATGGCACTGAGTCATATTTGTGAAATTTTCAAATCAAACTAAGATCTCGAAGGCTGTATCAACCGGTTTAATCTAACTTAAAACTTTATTTGACGCATATCTTGAAGTCCCGTGATCGTTTTCCTACAAAGACAGTCCTTTGATAAGAAAGCGAAAATTAGAAGGATCAAATCCTTGATTTATCCTACGGAAATCACCTAAAAAATTGATTAAATCGCTTAACTTTACTTCCGGTAATCGTCATTTTCCTGACTTATCGAGGAAAACTCCACTAATCCCATGGCATGTGAGAAATTTGTATATTCGTTTCTAATTAACGCCAGAGAAGAATAAACATTTGTCACTTCGTCATGTTGTAATTTCTCCCTCGATCAATACTGTCGATATCTCGACCAATCATAGGAACCTGTTATTGCTTTATCTTGTCAATTGTTTCAAGCTGCGTGAATCTGTTTTGTAAGTCGTTCCATCATTTTGCTGCGTTCGTCTATACACGCGTGGCTATTGTGTTTTGCTTTTGTTACTAGGTAATTTTTTTCTTTTGACTTCGGACGACCTTTTCAGGTTAGAACAAAGAGTTGGATCCGCGGTTTTAAAGGGTAAGATTTTTTTCAGTTAAGTGTTGGTTGCTTTTCGTGATGATTCAAGGAACCTCGATGACTTTCGACGAGCATGTGAAAGGACCTTCCACGACACATCATATTCGTATGTTCCCGATGTTTAACGACATGAAAGAGGGAAATGTTTGTGGAATCGGCACC